CCCTCCCCCTAACCATAACCATCTTCACCATTAGTTGATATTTGTTTCTGTGCAACTGGTCACTTGTTACTTTAGCCAAACGAAAGGTACACGGATCCAGATGGATGGATAGGTAGATAGGTAGGTAGGTAAATAGATAGATAGATAGATAGACAGAAACTTTATTAATCCCTAGGGAAATTTAGGAATATAAATATATAATATGTTATATAAAATAAATACATTTACTTCAATTCAACTATATATATATATATATACTATATATACTTGGACCAGAGTTAAAATCACTGTGCTCATACCTCTATATGCAGAGCCATCAGGAAGTTAATTTTTGCATTCTGCTTAAAAACAACGCTTGCAGATGCACTGTACCTTCTGGTGTGGGAGAAAATGTGATGCCCTCTCTCTCATGGAGTGGCAGGGCGCTGAGCCTGGGAATATCATCCGGCACCATGGCACGGGGCTTCCCCAGAGCCACTGCTGCTGCCCGACACACGTGTTTGATCCTCGGACCACCCAGCGGCTGCTCCTGCATACAGAAATATTTGGATATAAACAAATCATGGTAACATCACTTGTGATACACAAGTGAACCTGCCTGTGAAATGTAGTCTCAGATTACAATGAGAATATGATACAGTAGCCAAGATAAAGTTTAAAGTACAAAGTATAAAAGCCAATTCTTTAATAATGATAAAATAGAAAGAAGGCCAATATGCTTAATTCATAAGGTTATTTATTTCAAACAGGTTCCACAATGCTGGACTTTATTTAACCCATTTCCTGGTCGTTCATGTTGATAAAAAGTAGCAGGTGATGGTTTTTCACAGTTTTATGACCAAAATCGGTGGGTTTCCTTTACGCAGGACTCTCACAGCTCAACACATTTATTCTGTTTTTGACAGGTTTTTCTCATGAGCACCTGCACGGCACAAACAAACACAAGCAGCCTGAGTGTTACAGAGCATAATACACAGTGATACATCTAAGACATAACCGCAGATGGTTATAACAAATACAGCTTATATTTTTACAAAGAACAACACAAAAACATCTTTTCAAGTGTTACCTGTGGACTAATATCTTTGGGTGATACGACAACTCTTCTTCTCCTCCTCCTCCTTCCACTTACTGGCACTGATTCTCTGGAGCCCAACTATCGGTCCAGACAAAAAGGGGGAAAACGATGTTTAAGTAAGAGCTGCTGCAACATGTTGCCATACCTTTTGAAATTAACTGATTGATTTGATTTGATTTGATTTATTCTTTCAAACATGTAAAGACAGTCAATATGTCAACACACATAATTTCACACATATCCACAAATGCATTAACTGCCAGGTTAACTGCAATTTGACTTGAAAAGTTCAGACTGCAATATGAAGACCAAGCAAATGTTTCATGTACAATCCTGCCTTCATTTTTTCCACTAGAGGTACTGATTTTTCTTCCCCTTTTTATGTGTTTGTAATGTTACTGGGGGTTTTGTTATATTTAACTATCGGCAAATGCGATAATTAAACTGACTAATTAATTTATCATTTTGGAACTACTACCTTTGGAACTATGTACAATATGCAGTCATATACAGTCAGGTTCATAAATACTGGAACAATGATAAGGTTTCTGGCTTTTGGCCTCTGTACACCACCAAAACGAATATGAATTTAAACACTCAAGATGTGAGCAATTCAAAACTTCCAGCTTTAATTCAAAGGGTTTAACAAAAGTGTGGCGTTAACCATCCAGGAATTACAGCCATTTTCATACACACCCATTTTTGGTGACTCATAAGCAATGAAACAAACTAATGTAATTACAAACATAAGGACTGCCTTTAATACTTGGATGAAAATCCTTTGCAGTCAATGAATGCCTGAAGCCTGGAACCCATGAACATGACCAATGCTGGGTTTCATCCCTCGAGATGCTTTGCCAGGCCTTTACTGTAGCTGACTTCAGCTGCTGCTTGTTTGTGGGTCTTTCTGCTTTCAATCTTGTCTTCACTAAGTGAAAAGCATGCTCTATAGCACATGTGTCAAACTCAAGGCCCGCAGGCCACATCTGGCCCAGGGTACAGTTACATCCGGCCCGCGAGATAATTTTATACATCTTTTTTTTTTTAATGGCCCGGCGATATGAAGTGCCGATAACACAAACTACAAATCCCATAATGCAGCGCAACAGCTGCCTTACCGAATGATAGGCTACCTGCGATCAGTTCCGCGTCAATTAGGTCAGATCAATCAAGCGTCTGTTGATGTATACAACCCTAATTTCAAGTCAAAGCTGTCCCCTAACAATGGCCAAGAGAAAAGTTGATTCTGAAAACAGAGCCTTTCAAAAGCAGTCAGAGGCTGAATATATGTTTACTGACATTGTCGGTAAACCCGTGTGTCTTATTTGTGGAGCTAATGTGGCTGTAATTAAGGAATATAACCTAAGACGGCACTACGAGACAAAACATTAGGACAAGCTGAAAAACGTGAATGCAGAGCAGAAGCTACAGAAGGTAGAGGAGTTGAAGAGGAATCTGACATCACAGCAGACGTTTTCACTAAAGGGAAATCACACAGGGAAGCTGCTGTGAAAGCAAGTTTTATTGGGGCAGAGGAGAAAATCAGCCCGGACATTTACCGATGGAGAGTTTCTGAAGAGTGTAATACCCCAGTTCTTTTATTGGACAGATATGAGTAACGACGGAGTCCGTCTTTCTTGAAATATAATAAATAAATAAATAATGACTTTGAAACTTTCATTAAAGGAGTACTCCAATGGTACACGTCAACATGTTTACTTGTCCTGAGGAGTACTACTCTTCCTGTGAAAGCAGTTGCATTATGGAGGAGACTCCATAGTCTGAGGCAATAACCTTGATTATTATGGTTATGTCAACTTTGATCTTCAGACTGAGCTTTTAATAACAAGTGATAGAATTGGTAAAAAGTAACGTAAAACTACCATTAATTTATTCTAAAAGGCCACTGAATAATAGAATTGGTGTTAATGACGCTCTGTGCTGCTGGGTGTGTAATTAGGCAACTGTTTGCCCAAACGCTAGCCACTGCAATCCTATACATTGATTTGTATTTATAGCTGGCTTGTACTTGGAGGGTTGATTTTGATTTGCTTCTGACCCAAAATGCTTTTCTTGAGGCAAACTAAAGGTGAAAAAACTAAGAAAAAGGTCGTGCCTAAGCAACTTATTGTTTTGTAGAAACCAAATAATCACTTTATCATCACACTGACTACGCAAATCACTGTACTGTACCGTAACTAGTCGTAAACAAAGAGAAATACAGATGCGCTGTAAATCAGTGGTCCCCAACCCCCGGGCCGCGGACCGGTACCGGTCCGTGGATCAATTGGTACCGGGCCGCACAAGAAATCATTAATTATTTCCGTTTTATTTATTATCTGAGTCTGAACGATCTTTTATTTTGAAAAATGACTGTATTCTCTCGGTTACACCTCGGTCACTTGAGCGCCAAAACTGGCTTACTTGTGCGACATATTCAGCCTGCTCAATGAACTCAATCTGTCACTTCAGGGGAAAATGACAACTGTCTTCAAGTTGGCAGATAAAGTAGCTGCATTTAAAGCCAAACTGGATTTGTGGGGACGGCGCGTCAACAGAGGCATTTTGGACATGTTTCAAACATTAGCGGGGATTTTGGGTGAGACTGAGCCAGAGCCTTCATTCTCCCAGCTGGTGCACGATCACATGTCTTTGTTTTTAAAAGAGTTCGAGCGCTACTTCCCAACCACAAAGGACCCACGAACTGCCAAGGAATGGATCCGCAACCCATTTGTCAACAAACCAGGTGAATCCAGCAGGTCTGTGCAAGAAGAAGATCAACTGCTGGAGATCACAAATGACGGCAGCCTTAGAAGTATGTTCGAGACAACAACTCTGCCGGTGTTCTGGATTAAAGTCATGACAGAATACCCTGAGATCGCCACCACAGCACTGAAAACCCTGTTGCCATTTCCGACATCCTATCTGTGTGAAGCGGGTTTTTCTGCAGTGACAGCAACCAAAACAAAACAACGGAGTAGACTGAACATAAGCAACACACTTCGGGTGTCATTGTCTCCTATTACCCCCAGATGGGACCGTCTCGTTGCAGAGAAACAAGTTCAGGGCTCCCATTGATTTAGCGTTATGGGGAGTTAAAAATTTCAACACAGTGGATTCCCGTTTATTATTATATTAACAATATAAACAATCTACGTACCCCCCCGGGCCGCGGTAAAATTGTCGACCGTTGACCGGTCCGCAATGATAAAAAGGTTGGGGACCACTGCTGTAAATAGTTAATCTTATCAGCATGAACAAATAACGATGCTATCTGAGGTTGTGCAACAGGGAAAATGCAGCTACTGTAGGTGTTTGAAAATTAACATTAAGAGCAAATGCGCCACAAAGAAAAAACCTAAACCTGTACTCTACATGTTTGAGTTGGAAGGCTCAGACATTTAATTACAAACTAATACCACAAAAGTCACACATAAATATATTGAACATACAAATGTAATAGAAAACTAAAATATCTCTAACGTTTTAGGTATGTTTTTTTTTTATCTTGCACACAATCTATTTCCTCTAGATTTGCAAATACAGACAAAAGGTCAGACAATAGTTATAATCTTTAGGTTTAGTGTAGCTTGTATATTGTGTATTACAATGTTTTTTTTGTTGTTGTTTTTTTAAAAGCATGTGACCTAGAAACCTGATGGCAGTGACTGATTCCACTTCAGCTGTACCATTTCACTCATTTTCATGCCATTCCAAAATACAGTGGATTGTTAGTTATTTAAAGCATTTTAATAGTTCAAATTAAATAATATATTTGAACAGCTACTGTTTGTATACTGTAGCTTTCCCCTAAAATTAACAATATAAAAAAAGCAGTTGCTATGGTAATGAGAAAAGCCTAGAATCAACACCAAGGCCACTGCTCTCCCTGACCTCCCAGAGGGCATTTAGAAAATATTTAGTGTTTTCTTTGGGAAGGTGAACTGTAAATAGACATTAATGAATATAATTTGGAACAGAGGTGTCTGTAAATTAGAGCAAGTGTTAGTTTGATGAAGTCTGAGGTGTTCTCTTTTCCAGTTTAATCCAGATGCCGTTCTCTGCTCGGAGGATGAGGTCTCCTACAGGACGCAGCTCTTCATACGTCTGACAAGCTTCAACGTTGAAGTTACGCAGTACTGATGACAAAATCACCTTTTCTTCCATTAGTGCAAAACGCTGACCTGAGAAGGATCATAGTGGAACACACTCAGTTGTAATACTGTACACAATACACAGGTTCAGAAGCCTTGTTCAGAATTTAAGTACTGATTCTAAAAACTACTATGAAAAATTCTCATGCTCTTACCTATACAGTTACGAAGTCCCGCAGAGAAGGGGATGTACGCATATGGAGGCCTTCCCGCTGAGTTCTCAGGCAGGAAACGTTCAGGCCGGAACTCCTCAGGTTCAGGGAAGTATCGCAGGTCACGGTGGAGAGCGTAGGTAATGATAATAGCCTCGGCACCCTTAGGAACCTTGAAACCATCTACAGGCAAAAATGCAACTTGAGAAAGAATTTTCCTTAAACTTTTTCATATAGGATCACTTACAATTGCTCAGTTTCAGTTTAAGCCTTAAGGTCTCATTTTCATTTCTAATGGTTAGGATTTTAGCCCATCCAGCCATTATCTATACCGCTTATAGGGTCATGGGGGTGCTGGAGCCTTTGGAAACATTGGGTGAGAGGTGGGGTTCACCCTGGACAGGTTGCCAGTCTATCAAAGGGCTGACATGTAGACAAACAGCCACTCACACTCCTACTGGAAATTTAGAGTCGCAGTCAACCTAAGCTGCATGTCTTTGGACTGTAGGCGGTAGCTTGAACCCGGAACCTTCTTGCTGTGAGGCAACAGTGCTAACCACCACGCTGCTGTGCTACCCAGGATTTTAGTGGAATCACCAAATTATTTGCAAAAGTCTGGGGGGGGAAAAAAGCTGCATCATGTCAATATACAAGTACACTACTACATGTACAATGGGTTTCTATTGTACCATGCAATTATTACTGAAAGGGACAATAGCCAGAACAGCAAAAATAATAACTCTACTGTGAAAAACCTGAACTGCTTATTCCCTTGGCTTCTTGTTAAACAAAATTTTTTAAACATCCCAAATATCCCATGCCTTTCAGGACCCATCTATAACTCACTGATATAGCAGTCTTCACAGATCTTGCGCGCAAAGAATGGCACAGAGGGAAACAGTCGCAGGGCCTCCTTGATCACACACTCTAGGTATTTGAGCTTCTTCAGGTCCTCAGTGTTAGCAGGCCGGTCAGATGTACCTTTGCATAGTAAACAGGGAATACTTAACATTTTTAGCACAGAAAAAAGATAAACAGGGCCGGTGTAGGCTAGTTCATAGGTTTGTTCCCACTTTCTACAGTAGATAAGTTTAACAATTCTGTTTTGTTTAAAGGTCACACCTGTGTTTCTTCCACTGAAGACATACATTAAGTTACAGAGTCCAGAGTCTTTATTGCAACCTCTGCAAACAAATTCCCATATACTGACCACAAATCAACAATTATTAACAGAACTATTTGGTGGGTGTGTAACTTATACAGTGGAAATAAAACGGCTGGGAATATGATAAGGAATATTTTTATGCTTGTGGGCAAGTTTAGTGTCTCAAAGTAATGTTTTGCTATAAGGCCACTGAGCTTACGCCATGGTGAAAATACACAAAGGCAACAATAAATCCACCCAGCAGCTGAAAAAATTTAATCACCCTCTGTTTATTTTGGTACGGACTTTTGCAGCTATTATAACCACATAAGCTCCCCTTGACTTGCATAAAAATAATTGGTCTGAACAAAGATGAGTCAAAAAGCCTTCAGGCAGAAAACTAAATGATGTCATGAAAGAGCGAAGTTGTGCGGTGACTTGGGAGAGGAGAGACTGTGTTACTGTTACCAAACACTTCCTGAAGCTCTTGCTGGACTTTGCTGTGCACCTCGGGGTGGGAGCCCAGCAGATGTAGGGCCCAGTTCATAGAAGCTGCAGTAGTATCATGCCCCTACAAAATAAAAGTTGTGAAACAACTAATATTGACATTTTAAAGCTGCAGAAACTGATTTTTATGGCAACAACATGGTCACGTTTCACCTAACAAAGTTTTATTGGCAAAAGTGTTGGCAAACTACTGCCTGTTTACATATCAAGCAGACATCAATATTCATTTGGAGTTGTTTCTCCATTTGCCCTTCAAATGTAAGTCTAATTGTTATTCTCCTTTTCTCTCTGTTTGGGCCTCTACCAACTCATCAGGGACCTTTCTGGCTCTCAAGCTGCTAAATCCTCTTATCTTCACTAGTAAATTGCTAATGTTGTTGGTTGTTTAGTGCTCAGCAGGTTTTGTAGGTGATTTCAGGCAGAAAACGACTGTCTGGAAACGAAGCTGATGAGAGCAGTGGGCATGAAGTAACAGGCCATAAAACCAAAGCAGTGGGGTAAAAGACAATAAAACATGCTGTAGAGCTGAGGTTTCTCAATACAAACTGTCTTTTGATACACTGTTAATATAAAATATTGATTAAATGTCTTTTATTGCACTTTTAAATATTCAGCATTACACTGAGCTTCATTTTTACCTACTAACCCGAAACATAAAAGTGTCGACCTCCTCCTGAATATCCTGATGGCTCATCCTGTTGCCATTTTCATCCGTGGTTTTCAAGAGCATGTCCAAAAATGCCAGCTTTTTCCTTGTGCCTCGGTGAGAATCACTTTCTGAGTCGATATAGGAAATGTTCTCTGCTCTTTCATTTATAACCTGAGAAAGAATGAAGGCTAAAGTAAAACGTTGTTTTACGTTGCCTCTTATGCAGTTTTTTATGCCTCTAACACACAGAATATACAGTGATTTTTGTAGCCACCGCCTCCATTACTCACATTGTTTGTGAAAGTGTGGAGGACCTTGAGCATCTTGTCTTGCTCCCGGCCGTCACCAAAGTAGTAGTATACAAAGTCAAGCCAAAACCAAGGTGTCCTCTGTCTGCGGCTGACAATGTCACTCATTCTGAGGACAAAGAGTGAAATATAAGAAAACTTTATCACTTTATTTTTACTCATTATCTGTATAAATATAGAATTATGGTTAGATAGTATAAATATAGAAAAATAAAATAATTTACCTGTACACACTTCTAACATATTCTGAATCAGAATTACTCTGAGCATAAATTTTCTTTCCCATTGCAGTTTCTGAAAATACATTGTTTGAAGAGTATTTTGTTAAATCCAGGAAATGAATCCAGCATCATGAATGTGAGGCATTGGGTATCGATTCTTAATGCATAAGTTTGTTTTATAAGCAAACAGATAAAAGGCTCATATGTGCACACATACATTTTGAATATCCATCTGCTTACCACAGATAATGTCCAAGGCACAGAGGGCGATGTGGCTGAAGCAGTTAAATGGACCCTTCCCTGCCTGCTTCTCCAGCTTCTCCACTAGTATCTCTGCCTGCTCATTCATCACCTCCAAGAAGTCTGTCAGGATGGAGAAGTGGAAGGTGGGCGTCAGCATCTTCCGTCGCTGATGCCACTTACGCCCAGTGCTAATCAGAGAAGGAGATCAAATCAGGTCAGGGAACCAAGAGGGTTGGAGAAAGCGCAGGGCCCATGTATTTGTTCTTATCATAGGACAAAAATGACAAAAAAGTAGAAATTAACTTGCTTTGTTTGATTCAGTCATTTCCAAATTTAAAGGGAAGTCAGATTTTCCCTTTGACATTTTGGCAACACATGGGTTTTTTTTTATTCCCATTTGCATGGAATTGGTTGTGCACATTCATGGTCCATGTTCTGGGTGACCCCCTGACCTTTGTTCTTGCTCTACCTTCAAGCCAGTATTTCCACTGGACTGACCAGATGACTAAGAATTTTACTAAACACACACTAGGTTTCCCAAATGATGATCCCTATACTTCTCACTCAGCAGTTCTTCCTCACCATCTCACCTCCAGGTTAAAATGAAAAATGAATTATACAGTTCTGATGTTAATGAACCATAATGATCGTGATGATCCCCAGATCTATTCCAACCCCCGGGACATTCTCCACTTGTAGGTAAAAAATTTTTTTTTAAACTCAAGTGACAGATTATCATGAAACTTACTTTGAAATTGACTTCAACATTACCAAAAGAATTTCTATCCACCTTTTTTCTACATGTGTTTCTACATGTTGGTATATATAAATCTTTACAGACATATTTATTATCGACTTATTCTGTGAGTTTTTTTTTTTCAAACCCACAGTTGTGTTGTGCCTTTTTTTGTTTCCTTTTCTCTTATTGATTCTTTGCAGGCTTTTAATGCCATGTAGGCTACACAGGAGCCACAGGTACAGTACATACCTAGTGAGCAGGCCGGTTCCAAGCCAAGGGTGAAGGAACTTGTATACACCAGCTTTGTCCACGTGGACAGGGTTGGTGAGAACGGTCTACAAAAGCAGTGTGTACAAAGTGCAGTGACATGTTAAATAGACCATGTTGTCATAACGGGAGGTTTGAAGTTTAGAGCTGCAGCCTCACCTTCATTAAATGTGTTATTTTAGATGTTTATCTAGGTGTCATTTTTACACTAGTACAAAGACATTTGTAATTCTGTTCTCTTACCAAGTTGACTTGTTGAATCATAGACTTGTTTATAAGCTGAGGCAAGCAGACTTTGACATGTTACGATACTGGACGTTATAAATGTGGACCATACCTCAACAGTCTCAGCATGAAACAAAACCACAAACGGCACTGTTCCAAGCCAGAGTTTAATCAGCGGTGCATCACTGAATTGATGGGTATAATCCACAATTTGCTTAAAGAAATCTGAAACAAAAAACAGACATCACAGTGAAGCATTAATCTAGTGTTTCTTTGTTTACAGCAGCCATTTTAGATATTTGCACCATATGGGTTTCCATGAGCTTAATGGTCTAGGCAGCCTTGTGTAGCAGGATGTTGTTTATTTTCTTACCTCCTGCATTGGTTTTGAAGTACGATGCATGTCCAATGAAGGGGTACATTCTTGCCACGTTCGGGATTGGCTTCATCTCAAGCCATTTGTGCAGGTAATCGCTGAGCACATTGTAGGTAATGTGTGTTAGAATAGCTATGAAGATGCTGACTCCAAGTAAAGGTATCATGTAATTACCAAGCAAATCTGCCATTTTTTTCTGCAGTGTGCACAGTTTATCTGTGCGTTAAAGTAGTAGCACCAGGCTGTGCCTTTATCTTAAAGAAGCTGTGACATGTGACTTGCATTTACTCCTCCTCTGCTCTCAATCCTGCTGACAGCTCTCTGGATTAAGGACACCCACTGCATTTCTTGCCAATTATTACTTTTGGACGGTATCAGAAAATAGGAAATGTTATATATAAAGACAGGAGATACAAAAGTCACATGTATACAAATAGTAAAACATGCAAAAACAGAATGAGCTATAAATATTGACACAAATTATATAATGATGTCAATTATTTACCATATGATAGCTGATTGGTTCCGGCCAAGGCTATTGTCCAACTTACTCTGTAGTCTGGTACTTTTCAACAACCCTTTCCCAACCTGACTGGTTAATAAATAACTACATGACCTTAAACCACCGTACAGTTTGAGGTTAAGATGCAAAATTTATATTAAAAATATATTTTTAAAAAAGAGAGGTGATCTCGTCTATAAAGGGAGAAAAGGTCATTTTAATTAAGCTTATTATACAAAGATTTGCAAAGTATTTTCTTTATTTTTCTACTTTCATTTGTGAAAGCATGTAACTTCCCTGCATCCCCTGTGAAACTAAGCTTGAAGATATTAAGTTTATTTATAAAATGCAGAGATCATCTTTACACATTCCTCAAAGCTGTCCAAGAGATGTGAGGGACCTAGTTATTTAAAATAGTTTAACGCCAACTGTGTGGAACATTATACTGTAATATTAACAAATGTGCTTTTAATGATACCGTATTTTGCTCCCATCTTGACCTCTCATATCTTGATCTTGTCATCTTGGAGCCATAAATAGAGCAAAAGAACATACAATACCTCAACTTTTCAAGACAAGTTTCTATTATTTAACAGCTTAGGGGAGAAAAAGTCACCACTGCAGGCTGTGTAACTGAAAACATGACTTAGAACATAAAATATTGTAAATGGGGATAGGCTGCTCTATGTGCTGTTACATCTTGCCCTCAAATTCCTTAATTATGGTCTGACAATAAGCTTACAGTTTTTTTTATGTCACTCTTATTTCTGACAATGACGACCAAATAAAATAGTTAAGTATTCTACTTTGTAATGTGCATATGCCATAGCACAAATGGAAGCTTTACACTGGATTTGACAAAAAATGCTGTAGTTTCTTAATACAACCACTAGATGTCCCAATACATCATTTGGCTGAAGTGGAATATTCCATTTAATGATTCTGTGCTCTAAAATAAAGTTTTTCAAACTGGTTATTATAATACAAAACTATGTAAAATGAACAAATATGTGTCACAATATTTTACAGATGAATTATATTCATCATTCATGTCCTGACACCACACAGCATGACTGGCCCATCCCATGCCATGATATATGTATAGTATATGTCATAATTCCAAATATTCACAGAGGAAAACAATCTGCAACTGGCCAATTTTGGGAATTATTACAAATAAAAATATCTATTAGTATCAGTAAACGTCTGTCATTCCTGCAATCGATTAGTCATGCCAAGTGCTATGAGGAGCTTCTGGTGAAAGGCAGGCACCCTCTCCTTATCGACAGGCCACTCCAGGATGCAACACGGCCGCAACATGCTCCTGCGGAGGAAGAGTGACTGATACAACTTGTAGTCATGTACATCTTGCAGGAAGACCAGAACCACTGAGTCTCTGCTGGCTTCAATGACCTGGTGTAGAGCATGATGGGCTTTAAATCTGGATAGACAAAGATGAGGTAGAAGGGCAGAGAGACAATGTTGAGAGTTCACTCAACTGCAAATGGGCAAATATAATAGAACCAGAACAAAATATATGGCTTATGTAGTTTACAATTTTGTGATACTTTGACTTAGTTTGAGTCTACCTGATGTTTAATCTACAACATATAAAGCAGTGCATATTTGTTTTACCGTCGACACCATGGATCCTTCAGAAGATTTTCAGTGATGACAAACAAGATTTTCCTGGACATTCTCATATTTTCCACAATGGACTGAAGCTGTGACATGCCAGGGACTGCATCTCGATTCTCCCAAAAAAATCTGCACCGGTTATTCTCTAAGGGGACCATCCTCCTCTTCACCCAGTTGGTGTCTTCTTTTGCATGTATGATGTAAGCATCATATTCAAATTCCTGGACCTCTTCAGCTCTGGCATTGCTAAATCCTAATATGCGATTGATCACTATGTTCCAAAAAAACTGAATACGCCAGCCTTGGAACCGCACCAGAAGTGCAATTACAATCAGCATCATGACCGCTGTGGTGCTTAGTATGTAAAGAAGCTGAAAAGGGGTCATATCTTTGCAAGAGAGGGTGTCGAAATCCATGATGGAGTGGTTAAAGTAAACTAATGGAGTGTTGCACTTGTACTGTTCCCTGAGATCTGGCACATTGGTCGTATTTGTGTTATTCAACCATGTCACAAACCATAGGATGCTCTCACATGTGCAGTCAAATGGATTTTTGTCCATGATAAGCAGACTAAGGTTGTTCATTGGAGTTTTGAATACTTCAGGCCTAACAGATGTAATCAGGTTCTTCTGTAGACGTAAAACCTGCAGTGAATTCAGATCATCAAAAACTGAGTCCGTAAGACTGTTTAGCAGATTGTTAGAGAGACTTAATTCACTGAGGTTATTCAGACCTCGCAGGGCCTCCACTGGGATCTCATCCAGTCCGTTACTATCCATCTGTAAGGTCATCAAGCTCTGCACTCCTTTGAGGAACAACACTGGCCCACCTAGGTTGGCACTCTTCCACAACCGGGCTAAGTTGTTGTGCTGGAGCTTCAGCACCTTCAGGTTCACAAGCCCCTCCAGCATACTCCCTCTAATGTTAGCAATGTTGTTGTTGCTGAGATCCAGGAAGGTGAGGTTGGACAGGGGACGGAATGGAGAGGGATTCAGGTCCAAGGCTGTGGCAATAAGACTTTTTCCCAAAGTCAGAATTCTAAGATTGGGCATATAAACAAACGATGTGGAGTTTAGATTGACCATCTGTCGGTTATTGGTCATGTGAAGCTCTTGAACTTGACCTAGGCCTTCAAACTCTTTTCCAGTGAGAGTTTGTTTGACAAAATTGTAATCTAGAAGAAGTATGGTGAGGTTTCTCAAAACAGAGAAGCTTCCAGGATTAATCTGTGATATAGCTGTTCCTATCAGATTTAGCTTTGTGAGAGGTGATCCTGCAAGTGAGACTAAAGTCTTGCTGGTGATGGTTTTCAGCGAGGTGTAACTACTCCAGCTCATATCAAGTTCTTTCAGGCTTGTCAAGCCTGTAAAAATGTGCTCTGTGAGTTCTCGAACTGCAGTTCTCTGTAATATCAAACTCTCCAGGGCACCTAATGGTTGGAATGAGAAATCATCAATAATCGGGGTAGAGGAAGTATGACTTTTCACCAGAGCGCTTGCCAGTTCAAGTTTTTTCAGACTTTTGAGGCCCTGAAATGTGGCCTTGGTCAGGTGCTTGATGTTGTTGTCGGACAAAATTAGTGTCTGAAGGCTGGACAGCCACTGAAATGAGCCACCTTCGATTTTATTCATGCCATTATGGGAAAGATCCAGAAAGGTTAGATTTGTTTTCTGTAGCCCCATGAAGGTTGTATTTGAGAGTGTGAGCAGCTTCATCATCCGAAGAGACAGGGTGTCAATGGATGTCCCCGACAGCTCTGAGCAGAGTTTGGAAATAACTGAAGTGCCTATGTTGCTCCCATCCATGATTAAAGTGTGTAGGTTTCTGATGGGCTCAAAACAACCAGGCTCCAGCTGCAACAAAACAAACCAAGAGATCTTGTGGTGAAATGAAAAAGGGAAACAAAACAAACAACTGAAACTAAGTTGCCGCTACAGTTCCATTTCACTTCCCATTTTCTGCTCAGTTTCTTACCATTTTTAGTTGCACTGATGACAGATTGAGGACTTGCAGATAAGGTGAACTGGTGAGGAAAGAAAAGTCATCTTTCTTCAGAGCGGTGAAGTCATTGAATGCCAGATTGAGGTTCACCAGGCTGGGCAGCTGGGGTTGAGAGCCAAGCTTGGCGGACAGAAGTTTGTTTTTGGAAACGTCAAGAAATTTCAGCTTCTGTGAATTATTCAAGCCAAATAAAAAAAGTGTTGTTAATGCAATTCAGGAGGGACATATCAAAAAAATTAAAAGTGACAGCTTAATGCCTAGGTTCATGGCATATTGTAGATACCATTTCAAATTTAAAAAGGTAGCAGATCTCTGAGGACACGAGGCACCTCCCTTTTTCTCCCTTTCTCCAAATCGAGTGAGCTAGTACTCAGCATGCATTTTCTTAAAGCATGAGCAACCTAGCTGATGAGGTGCGTGCACAACATACTCATTTAAAAGCAAATTTGAAGCATTTTTATTTTTGCATAATTACTTCATGACAGTTAATTAATCTGTATCATAATCGGTACTGTCCCAGTGTATTTATTTTCATCTCTCTGCTCATTTTAATGCTTGCACTCTGTGTTCTATTCTTTTCTAAGGCTTTTTTCATGTGTATTACCTTGTAAACAGTTGCAAAGGTATTATTAACTTACTTTTAAGAATTAGCCTGAAATATGCTTCTTTGCTTTTTTTTGCTGAGAGAGAATCTTGATACCACTCTAGTATGTGGGCAGTAAATATTAAGCTAATGACAGTAGCAAGTTAGCTTAGCTTAGCATAAGGACTGGAAGCTAAAGGAAACAGCCTGACTACCATTACCATTACCATTACTACAGCCTAACTCATGATGCGTCGATCTATTTATCCCTCCAGTTATTAATGATGGAACACACCTGTAGTGCAAAGAAAGGCTCTCCTTGTAGTTTTAGCCTGTTACTAGCCATATATAACCATGTTAGGCTGGCGCAGTGGCTCAGATCTTCCTTTTTCAGCCAATGCACTTCGTTGTGTTCCATGTTCAGTGTATGCAGCAGAGGCAGTATCTGGCACAAACTCCCATTTATATGGGTGATGCTGTTGAAACTGACATCAAGGTAGAGGAGGCCTGGGTATGGACTTAGTGACTCAGGGGGAATTTTCACCAGTCTGTTGTGAGACATATCCAGGCTGGTGATGTTGCGGGGAAGATCTGGAGGAACTGCACTGAGACTGAGGTGGCTGCAGTCAGCTCTGCTGTCTTGCACAAGGCAGGATCTCTTCTTTGGTCTGGCCACACAGTGGCATGGTCCCATTATAAAATAACATATGATGACCCATGTTAGAAGAGAACGAGAGGTGCACATTGTTTCAAAAACCTTTAACAGATAGAGAGAATAAAATCTGTATCAGTGTTAAGAACAACTTTGGCATTTTATCATCATATAAAGTTAATATGGCAAACACATTATCAGTTATCTGTGTACACAGAACACCATTAGTAATATCCAGTATATTTAGTTATTTTGCCAAAATAAGAGCAATGTTTTAGAATCAAATATACTTTTACTCCACTAATTTCATAACTTAAGTTACTTTTAAGAATCTGATTAATATAGCAAAATCCAATATACAAGACTTATTGATACATGGTGGGAAATTCACAGGCTACCTAACAGCAATTCAAACTGCATTTAAGGTATAGTAATTGTAAAATTATCTCCACATGTACCAGCTGAAACATTAAATGTGATAATGCATCAATAATTACATCTTAATATGACATACATTGTGACGTGCAATTTTGCATCAGTGCATTTACTTCTGAATTAAGAGTATTTTGCGGCTTTTACTTAAGAAAAGAATCTGAGTACTTCTTCCACCACCGCTAATATGACGGCAACATGATTTATACAGGACTCTAAGACAAGTAGCCCATTAGGCGTCACCGTGACATTTAATAAACTCTACGACTGGGTAATATTTTGGATATAATACTTGAAGAGTTCTTACCAAATGTTGCCTTTGCATATTGTGTTTTGCAGCTAGACTTCATAATCTTCAAACAGTTGTCATTCACAATCAAGAACGCACATAAGAGTAGCAGCTGGTCGACACCTCGACAAGGACGCAACGAAACAAGGAAATGGGAAACCAGTAGTTCCAGTTTTACTTTCACACGTGTTAGTTTGATGATAGGAAGTATGAATGGAAGTGATATCTACACCATACAAAACGGAGTGAAACCAATGTGATAAAGTTCTCAACATTATGAAACATCCCCAGTGCTTGTTCTAATAATCCCTGTATGGCTCTAAATAGAAATAGGCTTTCTGAAAGAGGGTTTGAGCCGCAAAGTATCGAGACACGTTGTGTTGTGTTTGACAATAAATTTGAAAACACTGACCATGCCAATATGAGCTGGCTTTTATGCTAAATTTAATAAAACGAACTGGTGTACGAACGTGTGTTGGCACGGCGCAAGCCTGTGGGATAAATACCGTACATTCACGAGTAGACGTGCAAAACATTTCATGGGGAGTAGTAAGGCTACCTGCAATTTTGAACGAACATATCAGTTTTAGCGATCTTCTGCATCCCCGAGATTTTTGTTTGTTTATTCAATTCATGTATGTATTTATTTTCTGAAACGCCAGTTAATTCAGTCCACACAGGCAAACACTATATTTTGAGATATTATGTTGGAATCAATTTAAACATAAAGACTAAAAATTGTATCTGCATCTGACATTACACTTACTTAAATAATAGCCTGTAGTAGTTTATTTTTTAATCAGTGTCAACTATTTGACAAATCATTGTTGTACAATTGATCACAAGTATCACTTTATTTGTGTAACCCAGTGTTCTAGGACATATACAGACATATACCTGTAATCCACACTCCTAATAAAATAACATAAGAAGATGAGTAAGAGCATTAAATTATTCAAATAAAATATGGTCAGTAAATAGGTTTCTCTTACAAAAACAGCAGGTGAATTAAACCTCAGTGTTTCGGATCAGCATTTTTCCTAGGAGATGGATGTGAGGGACTGACAGCTGTGGCATATGGTTCCCTAAAACAAACTTTGCAACAGTCAAGATGCAGAAGTAGTAGAATTAGAGGATCCACCTGCAGTAGGGGTGCAGACACAAACTACTACCCCTAGTGAAGATTAATTTTAGTACACCTTGAAAGAATACAGTACAAATAAATACTTTTTTTCTTGTTATGTTAATTTTACAAACATATTTCTCCATTTGCCCATGTGCCTAGAGAAACACCACACTTAAAAGCTGTAACATACTGTGTAAGAGAATCAGTGGAGTAAATAATCTTTGCAAAATCAGTTGTAACCTTTGCACACCCAGGGTAGGCTTGCTCAACATGAACACCTGCTGCTTTAAAGTGCCTTAGATTTGTGTTACGGCCTATTTAGATGTGTTATTGCTCATCTACTTTATATTTCACTTGTATTGTGTGGCATTCATGTGGACGGCAAAGTAAGAATTTCATTGTACAGGGAAACACGTTTCCTAACTGTGCATATGACAAATAAATGCTTTGACCTTGACCAAATGGCATTTATTAACAGTTTTTCTTTGGTCTTTTGTGCCTGTGCTGAAGGCACTAAACGTTTTGAGGCAAGGACGGATATTGTCCATTCACCTGCTACAACAAAAAGCTATAATAAAGTTAAATTCTTTATAGTTGTATTACATTGCGTACCTTGATATGTCCTCAATCACAACACCAGAGAAGTGAAACCTAAGAAAAAAACTATATAACTAGATGAGATGGGAAATAACCACTAGATGGCAGTAAAATACTATAAACTAAGTCACTCAACGCCCCTGCAGTAGTCATTGTGAGTAAAATTCTTAATTCTTACCTTTGTATTGTAAAAAGATACAACTTTGATATTGTGTGACTTACCTGCAACAAGTTTCTCTGATGCCAGTGGCTACTGAATATCAGCTCACTGAGTTCAGAAATAAGGATTCAGTGTTTTTGTGTCTTAGTAAATGCATTAGTGAGCGAATGAAGCTAAAACAACTTGGCCAAATCCATTTAAGGTCAGCAGTCTTGTAAAAGTAGAAATGACCTGCTGCTAAGTAAGTAACAAAATCTGACCTAAAATAGACAAAGCATGCAGCCAATGCAAACATTCAAGTGTTACTGATTACGGGTGACGTGTCTTTGTTGTTATCAACATGGATAGATGATTATCCTTAAAGGTTTTTTCTTATTCAGAAATATTTCCTTTTTCAAAATTGCTTCCTGTTGACAGTTTGTTCACCGAGCACATCACTGACTAGAATATCCTCTGTGTCATTTATTAATTGTATTGTGACAGCCGCTATGAACCACAGTGTGCTAACTAGCTTGACACTGTCACGCAGTGTATAAATCCAGACTAACACTGGCATAGTTCAAAGCTGTACCGTGTCAAAGTGCTGCTGAAATTATTTATCTCACTGAACTCCATGAGGAATGTTAAGTCAGTCTATGCTTCTAGGATATTTTACATTAATTATTCAGACTGTATCAGATATTGTACATGGGATAATTCTTTCTGTCTGTACAGTAGCAGTGGTATTTGTGACTGATTCTGGAGAGAGGAGGTTTATGTTCCCTGCACACACAATAACTCTAACATGTGCTTTTCTAACCAAAAGTAAGAGCAACCTATGTTTATTGTTTTAACTTTCTTGGTGACGGTAGCATCTCAGGTGTGTTCCTCACTTTTCCAACTCCACTGCACATTCTCTTCACTAAGAGACTGCATTATGTGGAGATTTATGGAAAGAGGACCATGACCCTGCTGTGGCCTTTCATCACAGCATGTTTTCTCTTGCTAGTAACTGGATTCAGATTGTGGTTAAGGACTACTGTCTTGCACGTCTTTGTTGGCGATGCAACAATGTACAAAGCAGGAAATGTTACATTGCCTCAAGAAGTGAAAATCTGCATCAAACACTGTGCTCAGCCCCTACAGTCATACTGGCAGAGACACACATACACCTGTCTGTCCCTTCTTTTCCCCCTTTATCCTCTCCTCAGATTAATAGATCAGGTCCTTCCTGGGACAGACTTCAGGCCACCTGATTGGTTTAGCCCAGTGTTAAGCCAAGGCAGCTTACAGGGCTTTATGCCAGTGGCTGGATTGCTGAAGACCTGTAAAAAGTGGAGCGAGCTAGGCATGGTGGTGGTCAAGTTAATAATGTGATAGCGCAAAGGACAGATCCGATTTGGATTTTTTCTACTGGGAAAACACAGCTATAAAACAGAGCAAAGGGCGCATGGAGCTGTAAGGGCCATGATGAGAATCAGCGCAAATGATGCAGCAGGGAATTGTTGCAGATGGCTAAATCATGAGCTGTATTGTCAGGAGGGGAAATAACGCTGATGGGGATCAGGTGTAGATCAGACACATGAGAAACATCTTGGCACAGAAATGAGGGATTGGACTGAGTGACGGTCATTGCTATACATGCTTCACTGTAGCTAGAGACTGGCAGTGTGCGTTGTGTGTATGTGAGATTGAATGAACTCATGCAAAGGGGATAAGTGGTGGGGCAGTGCCTCCATCAGTGGGAATGTTCTTCATCTTACCAGCTCAGGTAAATCTCCTCTCCCTTCATTTGGACACTGAATCTGTGGAGTTTTGGAATACCTCGAATCAGAAGGTGAGTTTGCCCTCTTGGCTTTTCACTGCTCTACAGCACAGGGTGGATGTTAACCTATCTTATGTAATCATTTGCATCTATCCACACTGCAGCTTCATTATTATGGTGTTCAAATATACCAGCAGCTGTCTACAGACAAATGTGTGTCATATTGTGTGTCTATTAATTTATTTCTTTATTTACTGTATACATGCCATTAAGTGGATAATTCATCATCAGTGTCTGAAAAGGGAATTTTCTCTATAGCTGCAGCTTAAAAAGGCAAGTATGAAATTCTTAAAAGCAGAAGAGGTCCTTGTTATCTTGACTTTGCCCTGATATTTGGCAATAAAGGGGGTGGGATAAATCCCCTGTTTTGTCTTCACATTAGACTAGTGGAAAAAACTGGGTAGTAGTGAGATGAAGGGAATGTATATAAAGGACAAATAGAGATGTGTAAAAGGAGGGGTGACAGCAGCAGTGGTAATATTGTAGCATTCTGCCCTCTGCAAAAAAAAAAACACCCCCACTGCAGTAAATCTCCCCCTCCCCACTTAGCTGACCAATGATGTTTGGAGGTCAGACTCACAGCTCTGCTACTTGTGTCAGCTACTCATACACAGCTTATTCATGAGCACAGTGGTTATTACAAAAGAAGGGGAAAGGAAAACGATAAGAGGCAGTGTATGTGCATGCAGGGGAGAATACAGAACACAATATGGATGTATTTGGTTAGTTTTCCTTCTAAGATGAAAACACTGAATGCATGGCTGACTCCACTGTGTGTCACGCTACACAGAGGAAAGCACAGACTGACATATTAAATAAACTGTGCAGTCACTGTCACCTGACAGATGTAGTATCCTAGGTCTAAAAAGCTCACTGTATTACTGTAATTCAACCTAGAAGAAGCTATGTTTCTGAAAATTATAGAAATAATTTGCCTCTCACCAGTGAACACATATACTAGATGCAACTACTACGCAATTATCAATATATTCATTTTTTTTTTAGCATTAGCTGATGGTATGTGCTTCTCATCACTGCCTAGTGCTCACTAAGTGCTGATTCAGCTCTCTTTTCACTATAAGTGGTGCCCATGGCTGACAGGATATCAATACTGAACTGGAGTCAGCAGCATGGATCTACAGTACTACAGTACTATTAACTCTCTGCAGTGATGCTCAGTAAATGGGAAGTCCGGCTGGAAATGTGGCCTGCAATAAAAATAGGGATATGACTTTTTATTACTGGTTAATTAAACACATTGGCTTAGCCTAGGGAGAGACCTTGAAGTTGCCTTTGTGATCAAGCAATATTCAGTATTGGTATATGGCTTAAAAAAACTAAGATGTTTTGAATAACATTTAAGAGAAAGAAGCAAGCAAAACACATCAGAACCAGCAAATTACAGTATGCATAATCAGCTAAACCATTTTACAGTGATATATGTCATGAAATTGAATTGTTCCAGTATTACTTTAATTATTTGCACAAACCATGCTTTTGAACATTGCATAGTGTAAATGGAGGTGCAATGTGTGTCTGTTGGAAAATCTTCCAAGGAAAATTGCATAGTGTAAATGGAGGCGCAATGTGTGTCTGTTGGAAAATCTTCCATGAGTAGGGTTCAAATGTTCTTTATCATGTTAACAAAAATAGAATTTTCTAATATTGTCTTGTGTG